GTTCAGAGGCTTTCCATCGAAGCTCGTGCATATGAATTGCGCTCGGACACAATGCTGATCATCTACAATGTGCACAACTCCGGACTATCTCGTGATGAGGTGGAATCTATTTTGTCGCGTATTCGTGCTGAAGCGGAGGTTGCGGCGGTCTCCCCGCGTCGCACCGCAGCGCTGCTCATGGGCGACATGAATTACCAAGAAGCGGCCCCGAAGCACCTTCATGTTCCAGAGATTGACAGAGGACTGTTCCTTCAACCAAGGCAACGAGAATCTGGTGATGCATGGGCTTCAGCTCTAGCGAGCCTTTCGGAGCTGGGCCCTGAAGTGCCGACTCGCTCCGTCCCGTCAGACCAGAGACTGACGCAGCTGGATCGCGTCATGGTCAGCACTCCTGGTTGGATTATGCTGCTGTGGCCCATCGGTGCGACGGTGGCATATTATCCTGAGAAGCTGTGCGACGTGGGGATCTCGGACCACGGCCCCGTGCAGACCACCTTCTCCTTCAAGCACCTGAGGGGTCCCAGGGGCCAGGTCGTGCCAAGATTTGTCTGTCAGGCTCTGGGGTACGGATTGCCCCTAGACCTTCTGATTCAACGCTCGAGCGTTCTGGGGCCGAAAGCGCCAGAGCACACTCCCGGGGCTAGATGGGCTGAATGCAAGCGTCTTCTGAGGGTGGCGGCTAGGCTGACTAGGGGCAAACTCGTCTCATCCAGGCCCCCCCCCCCCCCTTTCGAGGCCAAATTAGTGATCTTCAGATCTATCTCTAGGGCTGTGCATTATAATGCTGTTCGCCTGGCCAGGTCTCTTCTTGCCTCGGGGGCCCTGGCTTTGGAGTTTCTGCAGATATCTAGTGATCACGTTGCCCCCCTGTCCTGGCCGATGAATTTTCGTGGGCAGTATGAAAGTTTGCAGCAGGGGGTCCCCGGCGATAGGGTGCGCCCGGCTGAGGCGGCCATCCAGGAATCCCCCCCACCCGCATTGAACAGAAGCGCATTTGTGCTTGCGCGCGCGCTGAAATGCGCGGCGGGAAATGCGGGCCCCGAAGGGAAGATCGCCCCCGCTTCAGGCCCCCCTCGCTCCTGATGGTTCCACGGTTTCTTCCCGCGGTTCGATGGTCGCTCCCCGTCGGGGCCACTGGGCCCCAGTCTTTGCTCCGCATAGGACGTCGCAGCCGCATATAGATAAGCGCATATCCGAGCTTTTCTCGGGGTTTGATGTTTCGGCCATTGTGCCGCCTACGTTGGGCGCCCTTGCCCCGGCCCTTCGAAAGGCGAAACCGACGGCCCCTGGCCCCGGCGGCCTCCCATATGCTGCGTGGCAGCAACATGGTTTGTCCAAGCGCACTTTGCGCGATCTTATGTTAGAGCTTCTCTCTGGTTTTCCTCCGCCGCCCTCTTTAGATGACGTGCTGTTAGTATTTGTGGCGAAGGGCCACCGTCAGCAAAGTGATTCTTCTGTAGTGCGTGAGCCCCAGAGTACTCGACCACTGGCTCAAAAGAGCACGGACGCGAAAGTCCCAGCGTCGGCGCGTAATCAGCAGGCGAAGGCGACGATTGCCAGGCAGGCTCACTCGGGCCAAAAGGGGTTTCTCCAGGGGGGGAACTTTTCGGAAAACATCGCCCTCCTCGATGCCGCGGCCAGGATTGCATCGATGCACCCCGGGGCTGAGGTGGAACCCCCTCCATGCTCTTCATCGACTTTGGCGGCGCCTTTCCCTCCATTGCTCAATCCTTCCTCTGGATAGTTCTTCGCAGAGCTCGCTATCCTCTAGGCTTCCAGTGCCTCGCGCCAGCCGCGTACTTCTGTGCGACTGCCTGCGCGCAGATTCTGGGGGCGCTTTTTTCTTTCGGGGCCATCTCGTCGGGGGTCATGCAAGGGCGCCCTGCTTCGGGATCCCTTTGGGCTCTGGCTATGGACCCCTTCCTGGGAGACATGCGAAAACGATTGAGGCGGCGCCCTGGGTCCGAGGTTTCGGCGCTTGCGGGCGACGTTGGGGTTCTGGTTTCGGAGCTCTCGGCTTTCGCATGTTTCTCGGGTACGTTCTATGCGGCGCAGTTCTTGGCGACCCTGTTTCTGAAAATTCTCGAGTGTCGGATTGCGCCCGCGCCTGGGGCTTTTTCTGGGGACCTCGCGAGGGGGGGGGTCAGGACAGGTTGCCGCCGTCGCCCCGAGGTGGCGCGACGTCCCAGTAGTTGAAGCAGCTGAGTACCTCGGCGTCTGGATTGGGACAGCTGCTGGCACCAGGGACTGGGTGTGGACGAGGGCGTTTCGGGAGTGGGTGGGAGTGATTCATAGTCTGGCAAAAGAGTCTGCTCCGCCATCGATTGCGCTGCAGCTCTATAATTCGAGAGCAGTCTCCAAATTCGGATACCTCGCCCAGTTGACGATGATTCCTGAGTCGATTCTGAAGTGGGAATCCTGGGCGCTGCATAAGATGTTGTATGTTCCCCCATTTTCGCGTCCACTGGGTCAGCTTCTAGCCTTGAGGTCGCGGGCGAAGTTGCGCCCCCAGCCGAGCCGAGTTCAGGCCGCGTGCGCCTTGATTCGCGCAGCTCGTCGCGCAATATCTAATTGGCGCCCCCTGCGGAGCAGATTACGGCTAGAGGCGAGGCGACTCTTACCGATGAAGCACCGGCGCAAGGGCGCCTGGTCGCCGCCGCACTGGGCGGCCTGTTCTTTTGTTCAGGCGCTGGCTAGAGCGGACGCTGGATTCCTTGGGCGCGATCGGCTTCGGGGGCCCGTTGCGGCTGCCCTGGCGGCTCTTGGCGAGGCGCAGGGGGTCGATCCTGCCGTCCACATTCAGAAGACTCTGGCCAGTTCCCTTTTCGCGACCCTTTTTAAGGAGGACCTCGCGCCCACTCTTCTCAAGAGACTGGAAAAGTGGACGCTGCGACCTCCCTCGGCCAGTGCTGTCGCTGGTCTGTCGTGGCCTGCGCTCAGGGGTTGCATCTCGCAATTGCCTCCTGCATGGCAGAGTGGTGCGATTGAGGCCCTTGTGGGAAGCTGGACTTCGAGAACAACCCGAGGTGCTCGGGGTCGGCGATGCTGACGGAGTGCAGCCGCAGTCATCGCCGCTCCAGTGAGACTACCAGGGGGCGCGACGGCAAATGCCATCATGTATGCGCTCGTAACTGCATGATGAGACGATGGCGAACTATAATCGGCATGCGTCGGTGTACACCAGGGCTCTGAACGACCGGACACACGCACGCCGTGCCAGTCATCGCACGAATATCTTGCGAAATTCAGCTGGGAATGGACGTGTCGCTGGCATCGCTGAGTAGGCGGGAAGATCTGTGGCGAAGAACACGTCTTCACAGTCTGTGTGCATGTTTGCCATGTGTCGTTCTGGTCGGCATCGCCCTGTTGCTATCAGTTATGGTGTTAAGCAGTTCTTGATGCAGTACGACTTATACATTTAATAAGAATGTCGGCTCTTCGGCCGAAAACAATGATGAGAATCGTTCGGAATCGCTGGGCGTCCAAGGTGCGTTTCCTTGTGCCTGTTGGGGCGCATTGGGAGTACCCCTCAGGGGGGCGTAGGGAAAGGGGGTAGGTTCACGGGGGATGTATCGACCCCAATCCATGCATTGATCGCCGATGGGGGCTCGATAGCCCAACCCGCTCAGGACCGTGCGGTTTCGCAATCAAGGGCCCATCGGCGATCTACCGTCTATGTATTTATCGCCCATTCTAGGTCGATGCTCCCCCCCCTGAGCCAGTCCCCCCGAGCGTTCCCGCTGCGCTTCTGCGTGGGGGGCTTCTGCGCCTTCGTCCTTGGAGGCGCCCCGAGTCTGGACGTCCCCCCGCGGGTGTCTCTGGGGATCCCGGGAATTCTGGATGGCCAAGGCGAAATACGTACATCAATTCGATTATCATCCGACGGTTTGTTTTTTCAGCCCGTGTGCCCCGAGTTCCCGACCTCGTCACTGGGGACAGTGTTTCTTCTCGGACCAATTTTGACCCACCGTTTCCAGGGCCGGGACCCGGATTGAAAAACACAATCGGTCCAAATCAATTTTGGGACCTCGGTCCTCGGGGTCCGCCCTTCGGGACCGTTTTTCCTTCGGTGTAAGATTTTAAATTGTTCCAGGGCAGGGAACCGGCCTCCAGATGCCAAAAAGAGCAAACTTGGTGAGGCCGTTTGTTTCCAGGAGGCAGGCCCATTCCACGGCCTCCGGGATCTCAGGAGGCCCGAGAAAGGGTGGAACGCGCGTCGCATAGGAGCCGGCTGGAGGGCTGAGGTGCGCCATCCCTTGGTTCTAGTCGTCAGAACGAGGGAGAGGCACCATGTTGCACGGGCTGTGTTCCGTGTCCCCTCCGGGCCGCCTTCTCCGCATGGGCATTGGATGCCGAAGGTTCCCCTGTTCCCCTCCTGGCTGGTTGTGCTGCTGCCCATCCAGAGCACCCCCCCAACCGCCTCGAATGTCCAAAACGTCTATCTTCGATCCTCGTCGAGGCCTTCTCGGGCCGCTCGGCTCCCCCCTCGGGGGCCAAGCAAGGGTTCTGAGACGCCCGGTGGCCCGAGGAGGAGCCGAAGACGCCCAGAACTCCGATCCTCGATCCTCGTCGATCGCGGGCGGGAAGCGTATTCAACGCCACTGACTCGCGGTCCGGACTCCTCAGCCGCGATTCCAGGCGGCTTTGCGCGGATGCCCCGCGCAAAGTTATCCATGAGGGATTGCATATCCGCGGCATCGGGCCTCGGCATCTAGACCGCGAGGCCCATAGATGTGACTTTTGGCGCCGGCCAACATTTCAGACTATTTATTCGAAATCGGGATGCTGAGGTCGGCGTTTCGAGGGAAGGCACCGCTTTCGGCCCGACCTGGGGCCCAGCACTTGAGCTCGAGGGGCCGCAAACCCTCGTGCTCCCCGCTTTCGCCTTTGCGGACAGCGCCGAAGTTGAGAACCTGTGCTCGCGCGCATGTGTTCGTCGCTCGTGTGTCGCAGCCTGCTCTCCTTCTCTGGGCCCCCATGTTGTCCCCGACGGGAGCCAGGTCCGCTCCACGCTCGAGGCGGCGGCGGCTGCGTCTGGGGGCCGCCTCGTGCGCGTGAACCTAGAGGACTCGGAGCCGCCCCCGGCTTTGGAGGCCCCACGAAGAGGAGGAGGACGAGGAGGAGGCTTCTCCTCCCTCCCTGTCTCCCTTGTCCTCCGGCTGCTCCTCCTGTCGCCCGTGCCATGGAGCCTGCCATGGGCACATATTACACAATGGATCGGGACGAGCCGAACAACACATTACCAATGGTTCGATGGTTGATATCAGACATTCTTGGAACGAGAAATCCACGTGTGGGACAGAGATGGTCATCAAACTTAGGGGGAAAAACACAATGGCCTCTGGAAGAGGTTTGTGCAACGACTGGATTCTACGAGGTAGCTGCATGTCCATGGCGATGGGTGTCCCTGCCGCCATCCTCCATCAGTGAAGGGCGGCAAACACGCGCTTGCGGCGTGGCAACCCGACGCTGCCGAATGACCCATGAAGTTCTGCATGGCTTGCGCAAATGCTTGTATTATGTACCAAATCTGGCTACAACGACCCGCGTAAGAAAGGATGCTTCTTCTATCAAAGAGGAATTGCAGGTTCGGCGACAAGCGTACGTTCACCCACCTACATAAATTGGGTGCGCTAGCTTTGAAGTCCAGCTCAAGAGCGGGGTCACAGTAATCACGGGGTCGCTCAAATAGCCGCGATGGTAAGCGTGATAAGTCTCGCTTCTCCCCGCGCGCCGAGCGGGGCCCGCGGAAAAGGTTGATATTTTCCCGAAAACAGGAGCACCAGTAGGAACCACTCCCCAAGAGGAGGCAGGAAACAATTACCTGGGCGAGGAGAAAAGCGTGGCCTGAGGCCACCAGCAACCAAAGGTACGGGCCGATCACCATCCAAGAGCCCTGGCCGAGGTAAGCGTCCCATCGGCGGGCGAAAGCGCAACCCGAAGGACAACAAAAACAGCCTTAGGACAGGGAGAAGGCACGTTTGTATCAAATGGACGCACAGTGTACCTCCACCAGCAAACAATATGTTTTTAGCATTCCCCGTGCAATGGTTTCGATGGCCATGTGCGTCCCTTCAGGTGTGCTGTCCGCTACAGGTCTCTCAACGCAGCGCGCTCTGGTGACGGCGGAATGCTCCAGTACGCGACCGGATGTGATCTATCTATGGTTTGCCGCGTCAGCGGTGGGCGAGCGCGGGCAAAGGACTATTGTGTCTTAGACGCCGAGTCCTACGCCAACATTTGCGTCGGCAAACATTGCCCCATGCTGCGAGTTCGGGAAATTATGCCTGATGGGCCAATGCGGCGGCCCGCAGCCAATGGTAACCTCGCGATGCTTGCCGCGGGGGCTGCCGAGAACGGGTCGATGCTGAGGCCGAGGCGCCGCTCGGCGACGACCCTGCGAAGGGGCGACCCGTCGCTTGCCTTGAGGGCGATCTCCCGCCGCAGCAGAGTAAACCTGCTGCCGTGAACGTATCAGACGAGTGGGAGATTCGTGGTAATCTGTTTGTCAGACTCGTCTACTAACTTAGGAAACGAATGTCCACTCCCATGGAGGCGCTGCGCGGCCCAGACGGAGGCCGCCCTCCTGCGCCGATTGAAGACAACGGCTGGAAGTGCCGCTCGCTCGCCGGCTTGTTTTTGTTTGGGGAGGTCGGGTGGGGTGGGGAGGATCGAGTCGTCCTAGATGAACGGGGTGGCGTCGCCGACGGAGACGCCGGCGAACTGCAGTAATATTGGATTGGCGAAGTGTTAGTCCCAATCAGCCGCGTTGACTTTGAGATGGGCGAAGTCTCCGGGGAACCGCGCGCGCAATCCGCCGCGCGCCCGGGGGGCGCGGGCGCTTTGAAATTGGGCATTCCATCTAAGAAACAGCGCAGTGGTCCGTGTCGACTCGCCGCCATGGGGTGTTGGGCCCGCGCTGACGTCGGGGCGAGGTGTTGTCGCGCTGCCAGCGATGCAGGGCCGCCGTGGAGAAGTGTCCGCCGCCGCGTCGTCAAGGATGCTCGCGCTGCACAAGTTCTACCTGGCCAGGGTTTGCGCGGCGTCAGTAGAAAGGGGGTGCCTCGTGCTAAAGTCCCTGGGGGGGCCACGGGGCGCGAGTGCCATGCTGTGTCGCGATGGCCCAGCTGGGCGGCCCGCGTCGGCCGCGCCGCCCCTGTCGCTGCGCCGAGCCTGTCGCTTCCAGCGTCACTGGCGCCCGGTAAGAGGGGGCGGTGCGCGTTATCATTGCAGCGCCTGTCGTGCCACCTTCGGTCGCGGGCGCAGGCCGGGGCCGCTGCGAGCGCTCCCCCATCCACGCCGCTATCGCGACCGGCGCAGCATTCGCTTGCGTCGCGGGACAGCTCTCCAAGAAGGAGATTGTTGTTTGCGCCGCCAGCGTTGAAGGCCCTTGGCGTTCAGTCGGGGAAGCGGATTTCCCGGCCCGCTTCAGCTCTTTCCGCGAGCGTGGCGACGTCGGGCTTGAAGCGCGCTTGATTGGCGAGCGCGGCCATCTGGGCCGCATGTCTGATTTTGTCGTGGACAAGCATTCCGAGTTAGCGCGCGTGGGAAAGTCGAAATTTAAGGGCCGTGTCGCAATTCATTGGGGAGGTTTTAAGAGCGAGACTGGACTTGCAGCTCCCTTCTCGGAGGTCGCTAGCTCCGCGTCGCACGCTGAGCGCAGCGAGCTGTCAGACGCAGTTGCCTGCCTCCCCGGCCGCGGCGGCCATTGATCAGATGCAGTCAGCGCCTGCGCGCGCGCCCCCCCTTCGGGGGCGGGCGCGTCCGCGGCGTCGGCGCGCGATCGAGCTCCCCGATTGGGCGATGTCCAGAGGGTCGGATTGAGGAGGGCTATCGGCGCTCTGTCGCGCAGTTGCGCCCGCTGCGGCGCGGCCGCCCGCCCTCGGGCGCGCGCGAGATTCCGCGCGGCGCCCGCGCCTGGCCTCGCGGGCGACAGTTTTACAGCTGGAGACTTGGAAGCGGCAGGGACGTTGGCGACGTCCACAGCAAGTGTCCTGATGCGCATCCCGTGCCTCGCTGACACGGCGCCACCGATCTGACATCCTTTACTCGGCATGCATGCTGGGTCGCCCGGTAAAGCAGCGGGACAGAGTTTGCGACCGAAGGTTGCATGGGCTAGTTTCCTAACTGCGCCGGCATTGCGATCATAGTTAAGAGATTTTGCAGGAGGCATTTCGAAAGGTCCCAAGGTCGGGCAGCGCGCCGACGCGCCGTTCGCCGATTGCACTCGCGCCCTCCTGTCGACGATGTGACGCTACGCAGCCCTCTCTCCCACATGGTCCTCGGGCGTTCTGCCCGATCAACTGCGACTGCATGAAGCAGAAGGCGTCGTCTCATTCGTCTACCGAGAGTCAGACCGCGGCAAAGGGCCGAGTCCTTGCCAACGCGGTGCATTTGAAATGACGTCTGCGAGACGCTCTCCCCCTCGTCTGGGCCGGTCTCCAGCGCGCCCAGAGAGCGCTGGGGGGGCCCAGCGCAGGGTGCACCTACGGCATGCTGGACTAAGACAGCGCCCCCCTGGGACCAGGCGCTGCATATTTCTGCCGAGGTTTCCGAAGTCATCGGCGCCTTAGCTGGTGGACGTAGAATTAAACTGATCATCGCAGAGGACAGCGAAGCGGTGATCAATATCCCATGTAAGGCCATGGCGCGTTTTTGACGGCGTTTGCTTCGAAGCCCCCCCCGTCTGCCACGGCTGGCTGGCCATTCGGTCCGAGCTGCGCGTATCTCTTAGCGGCGCAATGCGCGGGCGCGGGGGCGAAGTGCTTCACCGCGCCTGGACTGTCGGATGACCTACTGCGCCTCTGACATACGCTAGAGGTGAATCCCGGCGCCCGCCCCCCCCATCGCCGGGTGGCGCAGCGATGCGGGCGCCCGCCGAACCGCCTTCCAGTCCTACTGGCAGCCGCTCATCTGGCCAAAAGAGAGCTGCTGCCCCGGAAGCAGGGGGGACTATGTGGTACATATCGGCAGCTGCCCCCAATGACCAATCCACCTCCGCCCATGCGTCGACCTCCGCCCGTCGCGAGGGAATGCTGCGGGGGAGAAGGGGGCGGCCAGGGCATGTTGCAGTTTGCCGTGGTGCGCGCGCGCATGTTGATCCTGCGCCCGCCCGCTGGTTCAGCCCCCCACCCGCCCCTCCTTCTTCCGCCGGGTGCCGCCCTGGGCGTCGGGGCAGCCCGGCGCAGGCGCTTTCGCCGCCGCGTCGACAGCCTACCTCTCGTGGTTCGACTGCGCAAGTTAGCGCGCTGTCAAGCGCAGCCGCCGCAGATGAGCTCTGGGCGCGTCTCAGGGTCGCCCCCCATCGGAGGAGGACATCGACCGGGAAGGGCCTGCAGGAGGAGCGAGCCAGACAGGGCGTGACGAGGCGTCAGGTACTCAACGTTACCAACGCGAATTTGTGGTATCACCGGTTCTGGCGCAAGCTCAGAAATCGTCTAAACAGAAGCCCGCGCTTACGAATTACCCGAGCGAGAGGGCCCGAAGCGTTCGGAAACGCTGCTGCGCGGGCAAGGTAACAACGCAGAGCCGGGTGCAGAGCAATATTTGGCCAGTCTGGCGACGCTTCGATCAATGGTGGCGGGTGATGAAAATTAGAAACTATCAGAGATTCCCAGCAGAAGCTGCCCCGGCGCTGTATACGTCGGAGCTTGAGCAGACAGCGCGTTGGAGCAATCCGACGCTAGCGCTCGCATCGCGAGGATGGCAACAGAGATGCAAGTGGCTCGCCGCCCCAAGACGATGGCTGGGGCCCTCGCGCCTTCACAACGACGCGCAGCTGTTATCTTCGACCCCGCGCTGACCTTCGCCCAAACCAGGACGGACCACCTATCGCAGCAGGACGGTCGGACAGAGGAGGCGAACATCCAGTCGATCAACCCGCCAACGGTGCGTGATCGAGCGGTGTCTAGAACGTTCGCGCGCCATTGTCTTCAGCCAGCATGTGCCCTTCGGGGCGTTATTCGCGATGTCGCGCGACATCAATGCAACTGCGTTGAACGTCGAGTCCGACGCGGCGCTGGACAGGTTGGCTTGGCAGACGGGGAGATAGCACAAGGGTCCGTCTTCGCAGTCAGAGGGCGCCTGCAGCATA